TTGCATTCCCCAGAGAACAATGAAAAATTTATGTCCACACAAAAACCTAAACATGAATGTCCATAGACTCTTTAGCCACAGTAGCCAACTAGAAACAACCAAAATGTCCTCAGTAGTTGAATGGTTCAATAGGCGAACTGTGGTACATCCATACCATGGAATACTACTCAGCAATAAAAAGGAGTGAGCTATTGGTACATATTAAGTGTGGATGGATCTCAGGAACATCATGCTGATTGGAAAAAAGCCAATATTCCCTACTATATGATTCCATATTCTTAAAGTGACAAAGTTATAGAAATGGAGAACAGATTCCCGGTTGCTAAGGGTTAGGAATGATGGGGAGGGTTGGAAGACTGGCTAAGACTATGAAAGGGTAGCACAAGGGGGATTTTTGTGGTGATGGAATAGTTCTGTATCTTGATTGCAGAGGTGGTTACACATGTGATAAAATGGCATAGGATTATATAAACACCTTGTAGCAATGTCAATTTCCTGGCTGTTGGTATTATACAATAGTTATATTTAAAATGTAACCAGTGGGGGAACTGGTGAAGGGTAAGGACCTCTCTGTATTACTACCTGAAATTTCCTGTGGACCTATAATTATCTTAAAATAAAAAGTTAAAACAGTTTCTGAAAATCTGAAGATAAGCAAAAAGAAGACATAGCTTTGTAAATAACAACAGTCTACCCACTCTCCCTATTAATCTCAGTATTGTTTCAAGTACCAAGCATAATAAAATAATAAAAGCCAGTTTTAACTAAGAGTCTACCATGAGCCAGGCACTGTCTTAATGCTCTTCATGCACTGCCCATTTAATCCACATAACCACTTTATAAATGAAATGCCACAACCCCATTTTGCAGACAAAAAAACTGAGGTTGTGAGAGGTTGAGTAATTTGCTCATGGTCACACATTAAATGCTAGAACCATGATTTAAACTCAGATTAACTCCAGAGGCATGCCTCTGCACACTACTGTAACAAATATAAAGATGTTCAGAGAAAGAAAAACAGTTATTGGTCACACTGTGTGCAAAAGCCTGGATAAAACAGTTAAACCAGTTTTACCTTTGGTAGAGTTTTCAAAACTTTTCAAATGCTGGTGCATGTCACATAACTAGAAGACACATACAGTATTTCCCTTACGTATTTAACCAGGCCCTTTTCTGCCAGAATATAGTTTGGGTATATAATACAACAATCTCTCAGCCAAAAGTTAAAACATTTAAATAGCCTGATCTTAACACACTTCTCTTCACATATTGGCAAACTACAAATGTTTATAGCTGTGCTGTCTCATGTGGTAGCAGCTACCCATATGTGACTAATTATAAGTTAATAAGAATTAAATAAAATCAAAAGTTCAGTTCCTCAGTCACACTATCCACATTTCAAGTCTGCTCAAGACCCACATATGGCTACCATACTGGACATCACAGCTACAGAACATTTCCATCATCTGAGAAGTTCTATCAGCACTGGGTTAGAGACTTATTTTTGTTTTGTTTTGTTTTTTTTAAAGAACGTGGAGCCTATGCAATCTTCAGAGAAGCACATTGTGAATTATTACACGTCACTGTCACTATCCTCCCATAAAAGGGGATGAGGTCAGAGATTCTTGACGATCTAAAGTCAGCTACTGCCACTATAATGTTAAAGCACAAGGAAAAGGCAAGCAAAAGGAGTGGAAAAAATGAACAGAAAGAAAAGAAAGCAACATCATGCAACTTGGTGATGAGGCTTAAACTGAGATCCAAGAGTCTGGGTTCTACTCCCTACTATGTCAATGATTCATTTAAATAAACAAAATAAAAATAAAAATTTTGTGCAGTATTTGGTACTAATTACCTGTGACTTGATTAGACAAGTTTCTTTGCCTCTCTGGTCCTCAGTTTCCTCTTCAAATTTAAACTCGATGTTGCTAAGATTCCCTCTAGCTCTGTACCATTAAAACACATACACATACACACACAAAATGATGAGGTGGGAAATAAAGGTAAAAATAAAAGAAAGCAAGATCATTGCACATCGGTGTCGGAAACTGGCAGGAATAGCTTGTCACAAGTTCTACTCATGAGGATAAGATTTGGATACCACCAAAGGTTGAAAGATTTAATTCTGTTCAATAAATACTCACAGCAATTATTTGCAGCTAACTGCACTACTTGGAAATAGCACCCCCCCCCCCAAAAAAAAGAACCTGTCTAGCCCTAAATTAATACCAAATATGTGGAAAGAATGCAAGATTCACAAACCTTTAGGTTGAAAGACTGGTTCATTAACATGTACTAACCTAAATGACCCAGAACTGAGAAACACAGAAGTATCTTAAAATCTTCTTGAAGAGAAACAACTAACAAATTTTATAAAATCATTTACGTAGTACAAACAAATGGTATAATCAAAAGCATACCCGTTTCTTCCACAAAGAATATAAATAAATGCTACAGGTTACTTGGGAATAGGAAGACACCGATTTTGGTCAAGCTAACTTCTCTAGAATCCACAGTTAATCAGATAATCCTGCATGTTCTGGGTTAAATATTCTTGAGGGTTACTGGGAGTAAACGATTTTCAAATCGTGCTAGACAGAATAAAACGCAACTGGAATTCTTGCCTCTACTTATCTACTGCACACTTCCCACTTTTCAGAGGCACTGTTGGTCCTATTTCCTACGATCAAAATAGACAGAAAACTTTCCCCATCCCTATTCTAAGAATTCAAATAGCCAATATGAAAATTAAAAAATAATGTTTACCTCTAGATAAAGAAGAGCCAAGATAAACTGCGTTGATATTTTACCTTGAAGAAGCTAAGGCAAGCAGAGAGTAGTGTAACCTCTGTGAGGATTCACTCATTAAAGCCTGGAACCCTAGCCGGGAATATTTTGGTGCAGGCGCGAGTAAACACTAAAGCTTTGCAGCAAGGACAACAAGGAGAAGGGATCTGCAGAAGGGACAACAAGTAAAGGGACAAGCCTTCACTTCAGAAAGGCAGTTTTCAGTACCCCACCTACTAACCCAAAACCAAGGACCGCGCGGCGCGGAAACCCTGCCGAATTTGAAAACAAATGCTGCGAAGCTCCGGTGGACTGGTAAGGGGGTTGGTAACTGACAGCTCCGCTTCGGCGGGAGAAGCCTCAAATAGGTCAAATTGTGTCAACGGTCTGAAATCGAGAGTCCAGGCTACTACGCTTAGGGGAGTAGAGCAGCAGGAGGTAAGCAGAGGGTTGGCGTCTTTCAGTCCTAAGGAGGAAGGTTATCAGAACTGAGACCTAACCCAAGCCCGGGCAGCTTGCCCGCTCTCACCTCTCTTGGGGGCCTTGATCATAGGCACCCCTCCAGTTCTCTCGCCGTTTTCCTGCTTGTCCTTGTGCTTGAGATCGCCCGGAACGCAGGAGCTGGAATCACCATCGGAGCCGCGGTGGTGATGGTGCTTGTGCCGCTCCTTATGGCCCTTATGCTTGGGCCCGGCCGCGCTCACAGTCAGGGGCGAGAAGGTGAAGAGGGCCGAGGTGCCTGGAGCCGGGAGCGGGGCAGCGACAGCGGGCCCGGCGGACGCAAGCGACGGTGGCGGCGGAGGCGGCAGGAGCAGAGGCTCAACAGGGCCTGGGACGGTCGGGGCTGAATTCGTTGGCGGCAGCGGCCCGGGATGTTGGCGGCTGCGACGCCGCCGGTGAGGGGGAGCGACAGGGGGCTCCTGGCTCGGCCGCCCCCGCTTCTCCTGAGATCCCCCACTGCTTGTTCGGCGCTGCCTCTTCACTCCCCGCGGTGAGACCCCAGCGTGAGGTTTCTCCTTCCCTTCTTTGTCCGGCTCCTCTTGCGCCGCCACCGCCCGTACTACGCGCACCGCTCCGACCTGCGCAGCCATTTCACCCACAAACACACATTTAAATGGCTCGACCGCCCCCCCCGTCCGCGCATCGCGCAAGCGCCGCCCGCGCATGGCCCGCTGGGCATTGGAGTCTCTCCCCCGCCCTCCACTTGTCGGCAGTTCTTCGTCCAGAGCCCAACATGCCGGAAGCGGCAGTTCCAACGCTTTTCCGCTGGCCTCTCCGACCGAGCTTCTATTGTAAAGCTCCCCGGGCCGCGCAAAGCCTCGTGGGAGTGGTAGTTCCGCCGCGCCCTGCGCCGTGTCCCCGGCTCTGAGTGGAGTAGCAGAGGGAGCGTGCGCCGAGTCACGCGTCGGGCTGCGACGCAACCGCTGGTTGCCGCCAACCGCTTTAACGGCCCAAACAATGTTAATGGCTTTCAGAGTCTGGCGCCGCGTTCCATTATCATCTTTCTGTGCCCTTTCGTTATTTTACACGGAATATGTGGTCTCCATAGTGACTAAAATTGCATATTTCTCTCATAACCTTTGTGAGGTAAAAGAATCTCCAGCCTTTTACCCTTGACAAGCGATGAAATGAAGGGGAAAAGAGGATTTAGTGTTATGTAAAATGCGGACGATTTTACTGTGAAATCTATAGGACCGCAATTCAGAAATTTTTTGAAGCATTTGCATGGGCATTGCTATGGTTACAACTAGAGGCGTAACAAGGCAGGTGCAAGAACTGCCTGGGAGTCATCGAGCCACATCTCCCCAATGTCTGGAAAGGTAGAGACCAGCACTTATTTTGAACATATCCCTAGAGTTGCGAAAAATTCTAGATGCAAAACCGTGGTTAAAAAAATTTTTTAGTAAGATGATTTTTTTTTTTTTTTTCAAATCAGAAAAGGTTGCATAAATTTGAAAAGTGCATCTACCAGAAAACATTCAAAATCGTCACTGTCCGCCGAGGGATGATTGCTGCTCAGAAATTCATTTAGAATTTCATCGTCACTTCAGCTTTTACCTAGGATTTTTTAAATATATTTGGCCCTTGATAAAGATACTTGGAAATAATTGAGTACAATGATGTACTCAGCAGATAAAATTACTATGGTTTGATACCACTAGTCCCTGGAGAAGTATAACTTCAGCTAAATGAACACTACTGCAATGAAACAAAGTTTAAAACAAAAAATTTATTGATCACCTATTCGGTACATTGTACTACAATAGACAGGTAACAATATCTTATTCAATTTTTCCTGTCATTGGCTTCCTAATAAAAAATATTGAAGAGCAACTGATGTTTAAGTAATACATGATTTTAAAAGTTATAAATCTTTTTTTAAATAAAATATGTTAAATTTTTAGGGGAAGTTAGGTGAATCCTTTGTAATAATAATTACCTACCAATTTATTTGCTACATAAAATTATATTTGAAATATCAGATTTTCTTAAGACAGATCATATTCATATAGAAATATATTTTAACCTAGCAGTACCTCTGATTGGTTGGATACATATTGCACATCTTTATATAGGACCTTTTAAATGAAGAAAATGCTCCCAAAAGAGAGCTATTTAGTTGATTATATTTCTAGAATTGGTAATTGAATAATTTTGGTTAAAACTTATCAGGAATGTAGCTGAACATTTTGTTAGTATATACAGATTAAAAAGTGATTATTGTCATTATTTGTACATTTTATTCTCTTAAATATAATTTCTTTTCTTAATACTCTAGTTTCCCACAATATTTGGGAAGATGTGCAAGGTATACTCAATTTAGGAGTATAAATGGAGTTATAAATCCCAAGAAATAGTCATTGTCACTAGCAGTAATTTTGTACTGCAACCACAAGGTAAGGTTTTTTTTAAAACTTTTTATAGTAAATTCTGCCAATGTAGAAATGTAATTGAGATCCAATTCTTACAAACTTTTTAAAGTTTATGTAGAAAAGTAAAATAAAGTAAAAATAACTTCCAAAAATGAAAAATATGTCCATTCTAAAACACTTTGTTATAACAGCATTCTCTACATAAGCTCAAGTGACAAACCATTACTTGCAGTTTCCAACCCAACGTAAATGATATGAAAATGCAAAAACTACTGGCACATACTTGTATATTGCTTTTCTTTTAAAGGCTATTAACATTAGCATAACTTCATTATTGATATTATAAATGTAGATCACTTATTTTAGCTAGCAGTATTCTAGTTGCTTTATTTGCAGATGCATTTGCAGCCTATATTCTTATAAATCCAGAGTTGTATTAAACATTCCAAGTTGATGGTGGGTTCCTTGGTCCTTTAGGTTTTGAAAAACGATTTGCAAAACCTGGGAACAAAAATAAAATTGAATGAAAAGAGAAATTTTTTTTTGTATAGAAATGAACACTTCGACTTGAGAGTATACTATAATAAATGCAAACACATGGATTTTTTCCAAAAGGCTATGCAGCATCTTTGATCAATTTAGTAATAGATTATAAAGGCATTATAGTAATTAATTTAAAGCTTAAATTATAACAATAGAATACTAATAACATTTTAAATTTGTAGTGTACTTAACAATGTAGAACGACGGTTATAATAGCCTTTGATAATTCAGTATACAATACCATTTACCTACATTTTTTTCCACCTACCACTCACCCAACAGAAAAACAAAACTGAGAAATTTCAATTTCACAAAAATAAGAACTATTACTTCCAACATTATTGTATTAAATCCAGTATACCTCTAAGTCAGCCCAGAAAGCCTTAAATTTATTAAGAGCTTATGTTTGAAAAGGTTAGAAAAAATAAACAGTCCTAAAAAATTAAGTAGTTAAGTAATCATTTTTATTTATCTTTCTTCCTCAAACTCACACCCCTTCCCCCCCCAAAAAAAGCAGTAGTATGAGGAAAGTTTTCATAACTAATGAAGGCTATTTCGGGATGCTTTCAAAAGATTTGCAGGTTGGTAATATTGGTTCTTTATCATCTCAGCCACATATTACTTTCCTTTTCTAAAATGGTAGTATATTTTCAAGGTATCTCACACTTAGCAACTTTAAGGGCTTAAATTAAGAAATGAAAGTTTTGAAATACAGAGGGAGAACAGAGAATGGAAAACTTGAAGACATTCCTAAACCTTTAATTACATCATCTTACAAAATGTCAGTATTATCATTTTACAGAACTGATGTAAGGATCAAATGAGATATTTATTTAAAAAGTCTCCAGCACAATGCCTGGCACATAGTAACTATTCAAATGTTGCTTAAATCCTTAAATCTGAACCTACAAAAATCTATACCAGAACTGGAAGAAGAGAGTAGGGAAGGGGAAAAGAAGATAATTTTTTAAAAAATCACTAAAATTAAATTTATTAATGGTGGTCGTAAAAAAAAAAATTGGGGGAGAGGGCACACAGCCTAGTTTATCCACACTTCTCTGAGTGGTAAGAAAGAAGATAGAAGGAAAACTACTTCAGATTAAATAGTTTCACATAATAGTCAAAATCATCCCATCAGTATAGATAGCTTGATTGTAACCCAAGTGGACTGAGAATAGAAGTAAGGACATATGAGGGTACTTCAAAAAGTGTGTGGAAAAATAGAATTAAAAGAATATTAATCTTTCCATGAACTTTTTGAAGACCCCTTGAATTATGTACGTACTGAGTATCTAAAATTTGAGGAATACCTCTCTTTCACTGGTCAACTCAATAGTTTAGAATAGTAGTGAGCTTCCTTTTTTGCATGTGTGCCAATTCATAAAAAATAAACCTTAACTACAAATTATTCCATTCAAATTTAAATATTTTTTCAAGAAATATATCCTTACAATTTATATTGCCTTCTGTATAAAAGGAAGCCAGTGAAAAAAAATAAGTGCTGCTTTTTAAGTAGGTAAAGTGTTCAAATCTAGGTATATTTGAGAAGCAACATGGAGGCAGCTCTCTAACATTTTATTCTCAGATTGCAGACTGTTGTAAAGTTAGGTGGGCCATGAGTTTCTCAAGTGGTATCAGCGATTTATGAAAATGAAGGAAGCAGAGAACATTTGTGTTCCAGGCAAAGTTGGGTGCCTTTTTTTTTTAGTTTATACAATATTTTGTATGAAGGTTTTTAAATGATTTCATACACATCATAACTTTATAAAATTATTCCTCTCTATACTGCATATACTTTTTAAAATACAACATTTTAAACCTTAGAGTTAATGAAATCTAAACAAAATTTTATGGCTAAAGAAATAGATCCAGAGATTCGTTCTTTGTCAAGGTGAGATAGGGACCATAACCCAGGTGTGGCAGAGATTGCTACCTGTCCACCAAAATCTTTCTTTGCTTCCTCCTCAGGAATAGAAGTGTATCTGGGCAGTTGTATCTGTCTGCCCAGCACTATTACATTTCCCAGTCTCTCTTGCAATTTAGTTATAGCATGTCTAAGTTCTCTTCAAAGGGAAATGTGAGGTGATGCAATGTTGCCACTTCTAGGCCAATGCCTTAAGACCAGAAGAGGAGGAAGAGGAGGCCACGCCTACTCCATGTTATTCTGTTTTTCTGCCACCTGCAATCTGGATGTGGCAGCAACCTAATTTTGACCATACAGATAAAGACAATACCATTGAGCAGCAGTTCTCAAAGCGTTGTCCAGGGAGTCTTGAGGGTCCCCTAGACCCTTTCAGGGGGTCTGCTTTTTGGTTAAGAATAATTTTTAGTAATAATATCCTACATTAATTGCTATACTTTTTAACAAAAAATTATAATATACTTGATACTACTTTAAATAGTATCATGAATATGTATCACATAGAATGATAGAATGCTTAAAATAATATAAAATTATCATTTTAAGTTTATGGCTTATACTTAGGGGCAATTGGGAAGCAATTCCTTTAAACTGTCGGAATTGTGCTTCATCTTCTACTGTTGAATGAGTTATATAAGATTAGACAGCAGCAATTGCTGTTTTTTAAAATCATATTTGCATATTTTTTATAACTTTGCTTTCGATATGAACTGAAATATTATAACATCTCATATTCATTTAGTACATGCCAGCACAATAATTTGGTTACCTAGCTTTATTTTCTGCATATTATAGACAATTCAGTCCTATGCAAAATGCTAAGAGGTAGCTGAGGTTAAAAATAAAAAGATAAATTGTGTAGAAAACAATATAAATATAAGGACCTATAATTGCAACCTTAAATTATATTTAAAGTTGTGTGTCTTATACTGTAAACAAATAATTCAGATAAATTTTCTAATTCTACTGTAAAATAACACACGTACCAAAATTCAGAAAAAAGCTGGAGTTATTTGACTGAACAGATTCTGCAGGCTTGCTTGGTGGGGAAGAGTTACAGATACCTGGAATCAAAAGAAAGACGGAAGGGAAAGAATGAAGATACACTCACATTACTGTTTATCAGATTGTACAATTGTTGAGATTAAACATTTCCTCCAGAGTAATTAATACTCTCAAACATATTCACTATCAAATGTTACCAAAATATAGGTGCTTACACATGGGTTGACACTATAATCTTCTCATTTGTGTGTGTGTGTACGTGTGTGGTTAGGGTTTCTTTTCTTTACAAACAGTAAAGCCCGACACTAAAGAAAATTACCAAAGGAATAAGATCCAATAAATCATGAATCAACTTCTTTGAGACGTTCACATTTTGGCTTTGGACTCCATCTTACTTTGTACTCTATCTGACTGCTGTTAGTCTGCTTTTGTTCTCCACACTAATTCATTCATGGCAAGTCTGTGATTTTTCTTACTCTATCCTCTACTTCTGAAATCTCTTTACTCCACTTTCCAGTGTACTTTTTTCCCCATTGTAGATTATTCTAATTTAGGCCCATAATCTCTCACAAGACACTATTCTAATTTATACCCATAATCTCCCCCAAGAGATGCTGCTTTGTTTTGCTATTTTAGTTACTTATAAGTAGGCTTAAAAATATATTTGTCTTCCCCGTACCTTAATATATTCATTTATCAGTTTCTGCTCAGTTTTTTTTTTCCTTTAAATTTTTATTTTGTCAGTATACAATGTGGTTGATTATTATGGCCCATCACCGAAACCTCCCTCCCTCCTCCCTCTCCCGCTTCTGCTCAGTTGTGAATACAATCCGGTGAACACTTGGTCCAAATTTTGCACAGGCATTAACTTGCAGTAAAAAAAGATAACTTCAAGTTTGCATAAACTTTGTAACAAAGAGCATATAAATGGGGAGAAATTATTATTCTCTCTTTTTTGTTTTCAACATTGTCAGAATGCAATATGAGAACTATATATATGTGTTTGTACATACACACCTTCCCCTTCCTGGAGGTACTTGAGTATGAATCATTAAAATACATAGTGAATTTCAATCAAATTCAATTAAAATACATATTTATTGAATACCTACTATGTGCCAAGCATTGGGCCAGCTATTGAGGACAGAAACATGAATACAAAGTGGATGAAGGTGAGGTAGTTCAGGAGATATCAATAATCTCTATACTGCATATGACCTAAGAGTTGTATATACCCTCAGAAAAAAAAACAATTGACCAAAAGGGGAATATTAATTTTTTACAAAAGAGGCAAAGATTCTGCTCATATATATCAGAGAGAACTGCTGTTTTGAATATTGGCTTGCCATAGATATTTTTATGCTGCCTACCCAGCATTCATTCCCTCTTCTCCTGATGATAGAACTTGAATTTTCCTTTAGGAAATCACCCCACCCCCAATTTTCAGTTCCTATGCTTCTGGTGTAGCTGAAGGAAATGACCTATATCTAGGGCTAATTTTCAGTTGGTATGTTGCCATGGTCACACCAGATGTGTAGGTCTGACCTCATTCCTAATTGGTCAGTGTCCACATGTAATGGTTGTTTAATATTAGGTATGACACTATCCTGCCTAATGAGAACATTGAATATACTGGCAATGTATTCAGGGATGGGCAAATGAACCAAACCAAGACAATCAGATCCAATCGGCCATAGTCATCAGACTGTTGCTTGAGCTGTTCTTTTCCATCATAAGCCTGAAACCACATGGTAAAAGCCTGCTTATGAGTGAGCTAACACAGAATGAAACAAAGCTGAGAAATATGAAATAAGAGATTAGGTTCTGATTACATCATTTGAGCCCTTGGTTACAAGCCAATAAATTCCCCATTTCTGCTTAAGTCAGCTTAAATTGGGTTTTCTGTCACTTGCAACTGAAGGATTTCTGAGCAATTAAAGTTTCCCACCAAAAGTTGGCATCAGGCATCATGGTTGACAGCTTCCACTCTTGCTACCAGCAGCCAGGATGATCTTTTTAAAAAACAGGGCATGTATCATCTCTGCCTAAAATACTTTTATGGCTTCCAATTACACTTAGAATAAACTCTAAACTATTTCATATGACCCATAAGAATCTAACTACTACTCCCCCATCTTTCCAGCCTCACCTTACTCCCCTCTCCTCTTTACTTACTACCCTGCAACTACAATGGCTTCCTTTGAGTTCCTATAACACCCCAAACTCTCACACCTAAGAGATTTTGTATACACTGTTCCTCTATCTGGAGTGCTCTTCTTCCCACTCTGCCTGGCTAGCTGCTCCTTTATGTCTCAGGTTCAGTTGTCACTTCCTTAGAAAGGGCTTCCTGGACAACTCATTCTAAAGTGGATCCTCTGTTATTCCCTGTCATACCTACCCTTTTGTTTTCTTTCCTAGCATTTATCACAGTGTCTTATTATGTATATGTTTGTGGATTATTTGTTTAATGTCTGAATCCCTCACTAGACTTAAGTTCCACAGAGTCAGAGCCCATACCTATTCTGTTCATCCAGTGCCTTGAAGAACCCCTTGGGCATAGTAGTCACAAATATTCATTGAATGAAGGAAGGAAGGAAAGAATGAATGAAAGACAGTAGGCTTAGTTGCTAGCTTAAAATGACAGATGAAGAATCCTAATTTCATTAAAAGTAGGATCAGCTTTAACTACAGACCAGTAAGAGATCCAGGCTACACTGAGAACATACGGAATTCTGGAGTTATGAACCATTTGGAAGGGGCAGAGGACACATATGCAAGTACAGGCAAATAAGTCTAAAGCTTCAGAATCAGTTTGGGGTGCCAGATATTGTTCATTTAAGTGCAAAAGACTGGAGGATAAAGATTGCTTTAAAAAATAGAAATACAGCACAGTTTAGATCCAGAGAATAACCTGGGAACTCTTACTTAGAAGTAAGACTCAAGTCTCTGAGAGTCCCACCATATCTCAAAGTTGTGCCCACCTAAATCTACCTGAAATTTCTGTTTCTCTGTGAAAAAAAGACAGAGTTGGAGCTAGAGTAAGAAAACTAGGTGTTTCATAAGCTAAGCTGATCTAACCAATCTTTGGCTGGCTATTCAAGTCACTCATTTCTTTGCTTTTTGCTATCTTATTTCCCCTGTTTACCACTATAATTTCCTTTTGGATTTTTTTTGTTTGTTTTTGTCCTTTTTGAGACCGGCTGCACCACGCTCAGCCAGTGAGCGCACTGGCCATCCCTATATAGGATCCGAACCCGCGGCAGGAGCGCTACTGGGCTCCCAGTACCACACTCTCCTGAGTGCGCCACGGGCTCGGCCCTATAATTTCCTTTTGAAATGTTTAAATCTCTTTGAGTGACTTTAGGGGAAAGGGTATATTTCCAACTTTACTTTAGCCATCATGGGTAAGAAATCAGTTCCTTACAGAAATCAAGTTTGATGGCAATGATAGCAAACTAGCTCAAGAATCTGGAGTTTATGAATAGGGAGATAAAGTGAAAACCTAGAAAAAGAGTAAGATTCTACTATAAATCTTCTTACTTAGAGTATATTTTAAATCAAGTTTTCTCAGTGCTCCTTGTCCCTTCCTATAGCACCAGTATAATACCAAGTAACTGATTGTTCCTTCATGATTAACCAGATGGATCAAATTTGTAAAAAGTATATCACCATGTTTTATGTATTTTGTATTTGTAAATAAGCATTTCTAAGATAATTTCCCACAGTTACAGTAGTCTTTGGGTTTTATTTTCATTAAAATATAGCAAAAATAGTAAGCAACAGACTTTCATTGCTAATAATACTTGGTAAAAATGGAAATGTGTCAACGCTTTGCTTACTTCATTAAATCAACACATTTGTTTCACAATATGCTTTGCTGTGGCTATTTTCAAAGAAAATGTATCTGAGTTTAGATTGCTGGGAATTTTAAATAACACACTTGTATGATAGCATCTTATGATGGGTAGAAAGTGCCAAACATTTTACTAATTATTATTCCTATCTATTAAACAGAAAACTTTCCATCACCTTACTCCCTGCCCAATAGTAGCATTGTGGAGCCCAGCAAAGTACAAGACCTAGGGGAGATTGTTCTGATCCACAGGACCCTAGGGAGGCTCTGTTTAGGAATATTATTAATTTTTTTCTCAGAGTGGTTATATAGAGAAAAATTACATAATTCTGAAAGTGATATATATTCTAAAAAAATAAGTACAAAGAAACTTACTCTTTTTCATGTTTCGCAAAATTTTCAAACTCTACAGAAGTGAAGAAAGGGAAAATGTTAGTTTTTCCTGTGAAATCCAAAATACTTTAATCAAGTAGAAATATAGAGTTAAGTCAAAAGGATTAATTTCCTTAAAAATAGCCATGAAAATGCACAGTTATTTTTCCATCTTGCCATTTTTAATTCAGTGCAAAATCTTCACTTGATTTTATCTTGCTATTTTTTCCACCCATACAGATGTATCAGTACATATTCAGACATGATGTTGTCAGAATACCAGGGGAAAAAATGAAGTTCTTATCTCTCTCCTTTATTAGGACCATTCTAGAACCCAAAATGGCTCCTGAATATGGATGTGATACATAGCGATTCCCATTCCAGCCAAGAATTTTTGTCGATCATATTCTGTACTCAGTTTACTAAGCCCCACTTCCATACTGTTAGCTGTGCTACTTCCTTCTCCCTTCTTTCAGCAAACCTATGTCCTCTGCCTCCTTTATGGTGGAATCTAACTATCTTTTCCAGGAACCTACCCAAATTTCTTCTTTACTCCACATTTCCTCAGCATGTATATTTTTAATCTGCTCAATGGGAATCTATTCTTGATAATTTTCATGTTGTTTCTCATATAGGCATTTTGTTCCAACAGACTAACTATACTTTTTTAAAGAGTAGATAGATGTCCTTTATGACACTTCTGTTTTCCTAACACCTAACAGAAAGGACTCTTCCACAAAATAGAGACTTAATAAATTCTTTTTTTTTGTAAAATTTTTAGATTTTTAAAAAATATATAATTCATTTACAATTCAAAAAACCCTAGTAAAAATGCTCCCATTCTTGTCCTCCAACTACCCTTCCCCTGTAAATAAATAATCACTGTTTATGTATCCTTCAGACTTACTTATGAGTATGTAAGTAAATACACATATAAATCATATTTCCCCCTTTTAAGAAAAAGCTAGTAAATTATAAATAAATATACTGCGAGTCCTTATTCTTTTTTTTAGCTGCATAGTATTCCATTATATGGATATATCATGATTTATGACTTGGTTAATCATTTCCCCTAATGATTAACATTAATATTATTCCAGTCATCTGCTCTTTTAAATAATGCTGCAATCAATGCATGTTATTTCATGTATGTGCAAACATATTTGTAGGATAAATTCCTAGAAGTGAAATTGTTAGTTCAAAGGTTTTATGCATTTGTAATTTTGATATTGCTAAATTGCTCTCTATAGAAATTGTACCACTTAACATTCCCACCAACAATATAGGAGTGTGCTTATTTCCCCATAGCCTTCCTAACAGAAAGTGTAATCAAGTTTTGGAATTTGCCATTCTGATAGATGAAAAACAATGTGTCACTGTGGTTTTAATTTGTATTTCTCTTATTATGAATGAGGTTGAACATATTAAATGTTTAAAGGGCAGACCATGCTCATTTATTTTCTTTGAACTATCTGATCACATATTTTTGTCCATTTTTATTTTAGGGTTATTATTTTCTGTGAATTTCTATGAGCTCTTTTTATATTAGAGAAATAACCCCTTTGGCTATGATGCCAGTTGTAGATATTTTTTTCTCCAATTTGTTCTTTATCTTTTGATTTTTAAGATGATTTTTTTTGTCATGCAGAAATTTTTCTATTTTATTTAGTTGAATTTATGTATCTCTTTTCTATGGATTCTGGATTTTGAATCATAGTTATAAAGATCCTTCATACTCCCAGGTTATAAAGGAATCTTTCCAAGTGTTTTGATAATTCTATGGATTCAGGTTTTTATTTTATTTTATTTTTTAACATTTAAATCTTTTAGCCATCTGTAATTTATCCTGGTGTAGATGTGAGGGGTAGATCCTACTTTATTTTCCCAGGTGGTTATCTATTTGATCCAACAACAAATTTGAGTTACCACCTTCATCATACACTAAATTTCTACATATATTTGGATCTATTTCTGGGCTTTGTCTTCTATTTTGTTGGTATGTGTTTCTTTTCATATACTAATATCATACCATTTTAATTATTGAGACTTTACAATGTTTTAATATCTGGTAAGGCTACCTTCATTTCATTGGTTTTATTTTTATTTTAATTAATTTGTTTGCAGTTTTCTGGCTATTCTTGCTCTTTTTGCCACCCTATATGAACTTTGGATAAGTTTGTCTCATTCCAGGAATAAACAAGTTGTTTATTCAGCATCTTTTAAATTTATAAATCAATCTTAGGAGAAATAAATTCTTAAGTTGCATTTTTTCCTTCTTTTTTTCTTTTATTAATTTTGATTGTTGTGAAATAAAAAATCAGTTTTAGTAAAGATATTTAATCTAATTTTCCATCTTAATGCTTGGGAGGGGAGAAACCTTCAGTAATGGAAAGCCTCTGGCATGTTTCCTAAAACTCCCATCTTCTTTACCTTACTCCTTGTGAAACCTTTTCCAGGAGTCTTCAATGTCTGCTTTGAAGATGTTGAATTTTCCATGTGGTCAGGACATCTAGTAGAATAAGTTTCTATAGATTGGGGCTGCATACCTTTAAAAAAAAAAAAAAAAGGAGGGGGGAAGACAAAAAGTTTTGTTGCATAGCTTCTTAAGCCTTTGGGTTATATTTAGGTATATATTTAGTAATTTTTAGCTTGGCTTTTTTAGGCACTATTTTTGCTTTACATTATAGGCTTTTAAAATGTATTCTTTTATTTAATCATTTTTCCATTTAGGTCCTACTTTATTGTTAACCTTTTAACATCCTCAGTTTTATAACTTTTTTGAAGAGAAAGTACAGCCACTTACAATCTTCATCAGCAAGAAAGAAGGACTCTAGGGTTCTTTCTGGGAGTGGAGGTGGGGGGGAAGAAGAACCATCTTGATGTAGATCTGTGATAAGAAGAGTATATAACAGAGTAAAAGCATTAATCAATTAAAAGTCATAAATCAAGACTCTTTTTGGCTTTGTATAATTTTTCTAATTAATCAACCTTTACCTACAGCCACCAAATAAAAATTATTGGAACAATGAGTAGAGCCTCAAGAACTCTGTTCTTCCACATCTTTAGCCAATCAGCTTATGATTCATAAAAAATCTATAGTTCACTTGCAGAAGTATTCTTCCAAAGAAACTGAAACTGAATTTAATCAAGCTTTGAGATCTAATTACCATTTTACAGGAAATCCTGGGGATAGAGGAACATGTTAAGTAAAATCATGAGGATACAATTAATCAAATCCAGAATGTCAAGCAGTCTTTAGAATGAATGACACACTCTTTTCAACAAATAAATGGTATGATAAAATAGAAAAAAGAAAGAACTGTTACAGATTTAAAAAGACTTAAGAAACAAACCAAATGCAATGTGTAGACTTTGAATCCAGATTCAAATAAACCACCTGTAAAAAGATATTTTGGAGACAATTGGAGAAAATTGAACACAGTCTGGATATTAGATAATATTGAAGAATTATTGTTAATTTTTTGGTGTAATAATGCTATCATGATAGGATTAAAATATGTTTGAAATTTTCTGTAATAAAGGATTTTAAATAATGGAGCCATTTTCCCATGATGTAAACTCCTAAAGATCCAGATAGTATTCTATCTGCATAAGCTGCTCATTATACAGTGCTGAGTGTTATTATATACTCTATTAATGCCTTTTGAAAATGAAAATGCAATTAAGTACTACAGCTTCACCTGTCATTGGTTATTGTGTTTTTTTAGGCCTTAGAATGTGTCTATAAAATAAGTTGTCTTGTTTATTTTCTTATATGCTGGGTAATATGCAAAAAGACAGTACTTATTTCCAGTGCTGAATATAATAACTGGCATACAGGCATTTAATAACCCACAATGCCTATTCCTTACTGTATTAAATCTAATTCCCCTTGTTTAGCTTTGTGTTTAAAATACATGTAAGATTTTCCATTAGTGACATTTAGTGCATTTGCAGTATTGTGCAACCATCACCACTATCTAGTTCCACAACATTTTTCATTACCCAAAAGGAAACTCCACACCCATTATAATAGTCACTCACTATTCCCTCCTTCCCCCAGCCCCTGGCAAGCACAAATCTACTTTCTGTCTTTATGGATTTTCCTATTTTGGATATTTCCTTCGACTAGCTCTTAAATCCTTCAGAATCTTGCCACATCTTATCTACCCAAATTTATTTTCTATGTTTCACAAACTAGAACTTCTATTGCAATAAAAATAACCTACTCACCATTTCTCTGTACACATCATGCTCATTCTACCTTTGAGTCATTGTTAGGCTGATCCCTGCTCCTGGAATTCCCTCCTCTTTTCTCTCTGTCTATCCAAATTCTTTAAAGTTCTTTCTTCTACTCAATGAAGACTTTCATACCCACTCCAGTAATATCATCCCATTTTTCCAGACTCCTGGTGATTATAATCAGTGCCACACAGATTATCACTTAATGGTTTTATGTGGGTGTTAATTTTATCTACCCAATTTGAATATAAGCATTAAATAGTACTTTTTAAAATATATCCTGCTTATTCTAACACTGTGTAAGGTACACAAAACTTGCTTACCTAATGCTTATTTAATGATTAGATAACAAAAATTATAATAGATAATATTTAATGAGAGTTTATTATTTGACAAGCACTGTGCTAAAAGCTTTATATGCATATCTCACTGAATGCTCACAGAAATCCTCCGAGTTCTATTATCCTCATTTTACATATGAGAAAAATTGAAAATTAAAGAAAGTATATAATTTAATCAAGGTTATGCACATTCATAATTCTTGGTAGACTGGGGATTTGTCCTTTTTTTTTTTTTTTTTCTGTGACCGGTAAGGGGATCGCAACCCTTGGCTTGGTGTCGCCTGCACCGCGCTCAGCCAGTGAGCACACCAGCCATCCCTATATAGGATCCGAACCCGCAGCGGGAGCGCCACTGCGCTCCCAGCACCACACTCTCCTGAGTGCGCCACAGGGCCGGCCTAGACTGGGGATTTGAACCAAAGCTTTTTGAATCCAAAGACCATGCTATTTTATCTCCATATTATATTAGCTGTTTGTGTGTTTGAATAATATGATAATATGAATTAACATGTTAATGGCTACTACCTGTGATAATATATGCAACTACTACCTGTGATGATATATGCAAAGTACCTATAAGTGCCCAATAAATTTTAGCTGTTGTTATTATTCAATGAATAAAACAAGCAAAGTTCAGGAAAGTACTAGAGAAGCAACAGCAAGTTAAAGAACTAAGTGACCAGAAGTAATTTTTTAGACTTACGCTGTTAGCAATGGTAAAACCTATATAATGGAAATGCTGTACAATTTTAAAGGATTCTATCTGAAATAATTTTTAAAGGGTTTTATATTAAAAAACAGAATTCTAAAATACTCTCTTTACCTTGCCCTTGACAAAACAAAATTTCTAGTTTGGGAAAACCAGAAATAAATCAATAAATAGCAGCAGCTATTATGGCAACCTGTCGCCTCCTGAGGTGAATTATTCTAAACTTAATGAGCCATTCTTACAGTACAAATTCTTGGGGCTAAATGTCATCTGAAGCCAAGAGAAATTTTTACCTGATTTGGGACTCCGAAGTTTTACACTCTAAGAGAAAAAATCAGGAAAAGGAAAAAAAGAATATTTACACAAATTATACAAGTTCAAAGCAATAAATGGCATTTTTGAAATTACATTTCATATACTTATAGAGATAGTTATGAAACATACACCCTATTTTTCCTAATTTACAAGTGTGCTGAATTATGAAGAAGCATCCTTAACTCTAAAAGTGATCTTTAGATCCTGTGGCAATTAGTCCTAAATTGATCCCCTCTGACTTATTTCTTTCCTAGTCAGAAAATTTCCCTGAAAATTTAATTGGAATTAAGTTGTTGAAATTGAAGTTACTTCAAGACGTTGTAAAAGGAGTAATTGTTCTTTCCTGTGGAAATTGTTAAGATAAACATCATTACATGTGTGCATATTATTAACAATAATAATAATAATAATAATAGTCATTAAAATGGTAATTTAAAAGGTAGATTATATTTGCCTACCAGTATTGCAACTGTAGGCACTTTAAAAAGTGTTTTTTAATTACTTTTTTGATCTCTGAAATATTAAGATAGTTGGTTCACAGAGTATATAGAAACACATAACAGACTGTCAGAAGTGTAGATTTTTCTTCCATAAGCAGGAAACATTATTCCAAAAAGCTTATCTTAAATAATATGCATATGTGTCATTCCAAAAATGACTCTCTGTAATACATTATCACATCCAACATGATACAGCCTACTAAATGACTACTGTGAACAAGCTACCTACTTATGAAACATTTATTTTGCCTTAACTGTCCTTCAAGGATCAGCTCAAATGTTTCCTCTAATTCTTCCTTGATCACTTTCAACCTTAAGGAGCACCCATACTTCTGAATCTCTTTATCTTTCACATGGCATTAATCATATTGCCTCATATTGCCTATAAATATAGACAAAAATAAAGATTTGTGTACACATTTTATATCTTCACTGCAAGACTATATAAATTTCTTATGGGCAAGAATTGTCTTAGACATCTTTTTTATCCACATCCTCTAGCACATTGTTTTATATTAAGTATCTGCTTAATATTTATTGAATGATAGGTGTTAAAAACAGAAGGAGTAGAACTACAGTCTGTTGAATCCAAATAAGTAGAATCAGAAAAAATGTTACTGACCTTGCTTGGTCTGAGCCTTACAGAGTCAGCAAGTTTCTTTGATTCAGATGTTCCGCTCCATTCCTGTGATGTTCCAATTTTTACATTCACAGTGGGAGATAAGGATTTGTTGTTTCCAAAAACAATTGGTGGGAATTCTCCTGGAAGAAAGTGAATATGGTCCAATTCTTAGGTGTGCTGTTATTCTTTTAGAACAATGTTGGTCAGCAATAGTACACAGAACAATGAAAGGACCTGAAAAGTAATCTAGTTAATCCACACTTTATTTTATACTTACTGAACTGTACTCACCAGCTTCCTCTACCACAATAAAAGATTCAGGAGTCCGTTTAGGAAGTGGAGGGGGGATTTCATCATCTGTCCTTGGATAAGTTGCTATCCAAAATGTCAGAGATATAATCACAATTTTTAATTAGAACAATACAAAGGAAATTCTTATATTATAATCTAATCTTAAATATAAATTGTTTTTATTTTTATTTATTTTTTATATATTTTTTAAAATTTATCAATATACAATGTAGGTTATTTTCACACCAATTCCTCCTTTTCCCCCCTCTCCTCCTTCACCCTCCCATCAACATCATATCTATTCCCTTATCTTAACAAGTTCAAGGAATTATTGTGATTGTTGTATCTTTCTTTTTTCTCTCCCCATTTATTTGTTTGTATATTTATTTATTTATTTTCATTAGCTCCCACATATAAATGAGAACATGTGGTATTTCTCTTTCTGTGCCTGGCTTATTTCATCTAATATAATTTTCTCTAAGTCCATCCATGTTGCTGTGAATGGTAGTATTTCATTCTTTTTTATAGCAGAGTAGTATTCCATTGTGTAGATATACCACATTTTCCTTATCCAGTCATCTGATGATGGGCATTTAGGCTGGTACCAACTCTTGGCTATTGTAAATAGTGCTACAATAAACATGGCATAAAAACAGACACACAGACCAGTGGAACAGAATAGAGAACCCAGAAATCAATCCACACACCTACAGCCATCTGATCTTTGACAAAGGCACCAAGAACACACACTGAGGAAGAGACTGCCTCTTCAGTAAATGGTGCTGGAAAACTTGGACATCCATATGTAAAAGAATGAAACTAAACTCATACCTCTTGCCATATACCAAAATCAACTCAAAATGGATTAAAGAATTAAATATACATCCTGAAACAATAAAACTCCTAAAAGAAAACATAGGGGAAACACTTCAGGAAGTAGGGTTGGGTATAGACTTTGTGAATATGACCCCAAAAGCACAGGTAACCAAAGGAAAAGTAAACAAATGGGATTATATCAAACTGAAAAGCTTCTGCACAGCAAAAGAAACAATAAACAGAGCAAAAAGACAACCAACAGATTGGGAGAAAATATTTGCAAAATATATATCTGACAAAGGATAAATATCCAGAATATACACGGAATTCAAACAGCTTAGCAAAAAAACAAGTAACCCAATTTAAAAAATGGGCAAAGGAGATGAACAGGCATTTCTCAAAGGAAGATATATAAATGGCCACAGACACATGAAAAGATGCTCAACATCACTCAGCATTCGAGAAATGCAAATCAAAACCACTTTGAGATATCATCTCACTCCAGTTAAGATGGCTAATATCCCAAAGATTGAAAATAATAAATGCTGGTGAGGATGCAGAGAAAAGGGAACCCTGCTACACTGTTGATGGGACTGCAAAATGGTGCAGCCTCTATGGAAAATGATATGGAGGTTCCTCAAACAATTACAGATAGATCTACCATATGACCCAGCTATCCCACTGCTGGCTATATACCCAAAGGAATGGAAATCATCATGTTGAAGGGACACCTGTATTCCCATGTTTAATCTTAAATGCAAATTTAACAGAATTTATATTTAATTTATATTAAAGCAGCTTTAACAATAGTTAAGCCGGTACATATTTACTCAATGAAAAATCAAAAAAAAATTCTCTTAAGGTGCAAATCCAGGAGGTTTTTTTTTTTTTTTTTTTTTTTTCTTTTGTCTTTTTCCGTGCCCGGCAATGG